TCTCCATCCTCAGGGCTTCCCCTCGCAAGATGGCCGCCTTGACTTTCCCATAATCCTCTTGGTCTCGGTCTTCCAGGGTTTGGAAGGCCTCTTCCGCTCCTCCGCTCAGAGCCGGCCGGAGACGGGCTGTCCATTCTCCTCCGGGCCACCGGCAGGCTGTGGCCACCTGCTCAAAGGAGGCCAGGAAGGCCTTGGGGTCTTCCCAGGGGGAGGCCTCTGACATCATCACGGGGTTTCCACCTCTTCCGGAATGGAGCATCCTCAGGAACTCCTGCCACTGGGCCTCCCAGCGCTCTTCCGTCCCCCTCAGAAGCTCCATTTTGATTTTTTGTGACGCTCCACATGTCGGCAGTTCCGTCATATACAGAGGCTGAACCAGACTGGTTGGCTTTCCTGCTCCTTCTTCGGTTTCTGCTCCTGCAAAATATTGTACCTTCATCGCCGTTTCCCCCGATTCTTTGCTCCGATGCTCTATAGAGAGAGTTTCCAGGGTTTATCAGTTCCATCAGAGATAGAAACATTGCAACATTTCAGAGATTGCACAGAGTTGGGGGGGGGAAAGACCCTGGTTATTAACTAAGAATCTTTCTCAACCTTTCTCTAAATAAAATTAGACTCTTAAAAAAACAGTTCTTCCCATCCAAAGATTCATCTCCTACCTAATTGCAGGATCATTAGATAACAATAGACGAGAATGTCCATCACTCACAGTCAAGCTGGGGAGTACTTGGTGCTAAACGGGGCTTAGTTGTTTGCTTGCAGATGTCTCACCACTCAACTAGGTAACATCATCAGTGTGTGGGAAGGTAGGGTTTTCTCCCTATTTAAATGCAGTTAAGTTGCTCTGCTAGTTTTGATGGGTTTTTTTTGCTTAGTAATTCCTTAATTAGGGTATTATTTTCTGCTTGATCGTTGTCTGGTATGAAGCGGGTATTAACACCAGACAAACCATCAAGCAAAAAACAATATCCTGAATGACAGAGCCAAAATACTGTAAGGGTTGTTGAACTACTGGCCCCAACCAGAGTGGCTGGCTGAGTTCCAACTTTTTAAGGAGCATAACACTCCTTCTTGGTTAGTTTTATCTGCAAGTCAATAATAATTGAGCAATCATAGAATTCTAGGGCTGGAAGGGAACTCAAGAGGTCATTTAGTCCAACCCCCTGCCCAGGGCAGGATTCCTCCAACCACAGTTGCCCAATATTATGCTATAATATATAATGCTAACTAGAGCATACAAAACTTTTGCCAGACCAATACTCGAATACAGCTCATCAGTCTGGAATCCGCACTGCAATAACAGGCATTAATACAATCGAGAGAGTCCAGAAGTATTTCACGAGAAGAGTACTACACTCCTCTGCTCGCAACAGAAACCCTATACCACCAGGCTTGAGATTTTGGGCTTGGACAACCTAGAACTACATCGCCTACGGTTAGACTTCACTGTAGCACACAAAATTATCTGCTACCATGTCCTACCAGTCAATGACTACTTCAGCTTCAACCACAACAACCCAAGAGCACACAACAGATACAAACTCAATGTAAACCGCTTCAAACTTGATTGCACAAATTTTGACTTCAGCAAGAGAGTGGTCAATGCCTGGAATGCATTACCTGACTCTGTTCTTACATCATCTAACCCCCACTCCTTTAACCTCAAACTAACCACTATTGAACTCACCCCATTCCTAAGAGGTCTGCAAGGGGAGTACATAAGTGCACCGTCGTGCCTACCGTCCCTATCCTATTGTCCCCATTTATTTGTACCTATTTCCTGTAGCCTTACTCATGTTTATACTTATATCTATTATCTTGTAAGCGACTGACAAATCAAATAAATAAATAAAATAAATATTTGCTTAAAATCCCCCAGGGAAAAAGCTGCCCCATGATTCAGAGAAACAGTTTCTTCCACTTCTGTACTTAAAAGCACTCACAATCAAACATCTACTTTCTTCTTTTAACTTTGGAAGAAGTGCCCCACAGGCTGGAAGTGCGAGTGAAGTACCCAACACAACGCAACGCAAAGCACTCCATGCCATGCCATGCCCTGCAGATACAGTGACAGATTAACAGTTGATAGGGACCTTGTAGGTCATCTAGTCCAACCCCTCCCCCAAACGGGAGACCCCCACATCATTTCTGACAGATGGGAGTCCAATCTCTTCTTGAAAACCTCCAGTGATGAAGCTCCCACAACTTCTGAAGGCTGTTCCATGGGTTGATTGTTCTCACTGTCAGGAAGTTGAATCTGTCCTTGATCAGTTTCCATCTATTATTATTGGTCTGGCTTTCAGGTGCTTTGGAAAACAGGTTGACCCCCCTCCCTCCTCAGATACTGCAAGGCTGCTATCATGTCTCCCCCTAGTCCTTCTCTTCACTAGACTGGCCATGCCCAGTTCCTGTGACCATTTTAGCCTTCCGTTGCTCTTCTCTGCAAATCTTTCTAGAGTCTCCACAGCTTTTTCATAGTTTGGTGACCAAACCTGGATGCAGTATACAACGCAACGCAATGCAATGCAATGCAAAAAACATTCAGTTCAAAGCAACTCAATTCAATTGCCATGCCATCCTATGCAACGCACGCCGACTAGATAGATTAGAGCCGGAGGAAGGAGCGCGGGCAGCCGGGGCAAAGGCCGGAGGATGCGACGCGCGCGACCTTCTTGCAACAAGCCACCGCCTTCCCCGAGCCGGATTGCAAGCCAGAGGACGCCGCCCTGCTCCAACCATCCCAAGCCTTGGGGTTTACCTTGCAAGGAGAGCGTAGGATCCCCACACCCACTTACCTGGGCCCGAGAGGCGCGGAG